ATTCACGATAGATATTCAAATCATCCTTATCACTCTGAAACGTTTACATGCTAGTTCAAATATCGTAGACGTACGCTTAGAATCCTACACACATAAAGTTTCTAGATCCGGTCGGCAACAGACCATAGATCCGAACAAATAATATCATATATGGAAACATATAACATTTAGCACATAAAGCATTTTAGGAAACTTTCCTAAAATAAACTAGTGCTCGTGTCTAAAATATAACAGACACACATCTCAAAACTCCACTTAGCATTCTAAGTTTAAGTCTAGAAATCCTACAAATTCCTAGTTCGCTTAAACTAATGCTCTGATACCAACTGTGACATCCCCAAAATCTCGGACAGAAAAGACCGATTTTCATTTATGCTTTTAAAATAATTTTAGAGTAAATCCTTTTGATTTGAAAGAGTTGCGGAATTTGTTCCCAAAAACAAAACGTGATAAAACAGTGTTTACCAAAGCATTTCATAAAAGAAATGTATTTTCATTATATAATCAAAATTCAGGATGTCATGTTCCGATACAGACCATAAAGCATAAACGATAACATTACAAGTCATTCCACAAATATATACATATACAGACTTGTAAACAAAACAACTTGATGGTTCATCCAACTTATGCCCTTGCGCCACTTCCTGTAATACAAATAAAACTGAGTGGGTCAGGCTTGGGAGCCTGGTGAGCATATAGGGTTTTCAACCCACAATAAATAATTATATTTAATTTCCACCAACCAACAATAACCCAATTACCCATTCCCGTTATTCTCACTTTACGTCCCTAAAACAACTAACACAAGGGACCTAGTCTTAGAATATTTCATCGGGGCGACAACACATGCTTCGGGGGTACCTCAGCAATATAAGTCAAATAAGGAAACCATGAGGGGGATGGAATACAACGAATGAACACCCAAGTTCATTAACACCTACAGGTTATGAGTCTGCTAGCATTCCACGGGACTGTCTAGAAAAGTCCGTGGTCGTCATCTAAATTCCGCTAGATGACTGGATCAAAACAACATCGAAGCCTCTCATCTGTTTATTACACACCAACTATTTACCCATGTTCTACCCAACATATTAGTAGATAAAACATATATTTTTATACATAGTTTCAAAACCTGTATAACATGCTCAATCAATACATTTTCCACATAACATATGAGGCACACACACATAACACGTATTTCATGGAGAAATAATCAGATCTATAAGATAGAAGAAAGTGAATATACATTCATACCCATAACAACAAAATATACACATAACACGTATTTCGTATAAAATACTTCATAATTATGCGTTAGAAGAAAGTAACTACACACTCACTTGATCATAAGATGATCGGACAGCACTACGGCTTGTAGAAGTAGTAATCCTCAGCAGATCTGGAAGATCTCTACAAAAATCGAACTTCTCGCGGACAAAGCTTCGGCTCGAGAACCGCACTTCTCGGGATCTTCGGGATCTCGGGACTTGCTTCGGGGCTCAAGAATAATACCGGGGCTTCAGGGTACTTCTGGCACGCAAATCGATGCAAAACGGGAGAGAGAAGGGAGAAAAATAGCAAAAGAACCGGCTGCCCTCACATCTTATTTATAGGAGGCTGAGGCCTCACAATACGCGGGGCGTACGCCTTGGTTCGTAAGCGCATGCGTCATCCGAAGAACTCGAGTGCGAGTGTCGACATACCTTGGGTACGCGAGGCGTACTTCGGATGAGTCCGGTGACTCCTCTTCGGATAATGCCGGATTTAATAATTAAATTTAATTATTAATTATTTAATAAACTTTGAAAATTCAAATCTTCTTCATACAAACTCCGTTTTCGACATTCTTTATATCCACGCGAAGGTGAGACTACGCTCTACAACTTTCGTTTAGACTCCGTCGGCTAATTTTGAATTTATTTTTAATAGGCCGGAACAGAAACTTCCGTTATAAATTCATAACTTCTTCGTTTGATGTCCGTTCTCACCTAACTTTTTATCGCTTCGATATTAACAACGAGATCTTTGATTCCTGTTTAGATCACTAAAGCTAAATATCGCTCTAACGTAAATTTCATTTTTTACGTCATTCAGCGTTGCCGGTTCTGTCACGAAACTTCGACAGGTCATTACTTCTTCGTAATAACTCGGATTTCGGCATTCTTTATATCTTCGGAAACCTTGTTTCAAATAATACAACATTATCCAAAGATATCAAGTTTATTTTACACTTAAATTTTGACGCTTATTTTTATTTTTAATTAATCAAACCACATAATTAAGCAATTAAGCACAAAACACATAATACTCAAATAATACACTCTTATTATTTCAAAACGGGTTACAAAGGTTAGTCTAACTATTTCATTGCTAAAAATAACAAGCCCGGAAACACAGGTGTTTCATGAACAAAAGATGTAAGTCTTTCGACTCCTAATTCGGAGACTGTGTAACTTTAAAATGCATTATCTCTTTTAAGGAATGATACGATCCAGAGAATCAGGCAGGTGAAACCTGCAACTCAAAGGACCTTAGAAATTCTTAATAGAATTTGGTCCTGATATTTATATAAAGTCATCTTAAGAATTAAATGATGTGCACAACATTTTTCATACGCCAAGCCTTAAAGAGCGTCTGTCCATTGACACGCTTGGTATATTTTTGATAAAGTGTATTAAGAAAATAATGCAAAAGTTACATGTTTGTGAAAGTACACGCGATAGAACAGTGTTCAAGATTTGATAACCATAAAATACATCATTTGATCATATTCCCTATTCCCTGATTAGTCGTGACTTGTGATAAAGTCATCCATTGGATTAGTTATGTAATCTAGAGCTATGCGACATTAATCGACTCTAGAAAGATCACGTGTGGATCGAACGATATGAAAACACCACCAATTGTTTTATAATATTTTATCTACACATTGAATTTCGGGACGAAATTCCTTTCAACGAGGGATATTGTAACAACTGGTAAAAATTGGTCTGAGTTCCGCACTCAAATCACTGCGAACCACTATGTATTATTGACAAATTGTGTGTAATTTTAAGTTTATAAAGTATATTAAATATATCATATTTATAAATTCTTTTGGAACGTCTTAAGCTAATCAAATCTTCCATCGTTGAAGATCAAAAAAAAAAAACCGCCAAAATTTTGATTTAATTGTGTGTATGTGTGTATATATATATGTGTGTGTGTGTGTGTGTATATATGTATATATATTTGCATCAATTATATCTGAGAGTTATGGATAATATATTTCAATAGATTATGTTCCCCTGACTTCGTGTATATAAAGAACGTCCAAAACGGGGGTCGTATGAGAATGTTACGCCTGGTTGAAGTTACAAAAATCAATATTTATCTGATTTTCCTGAAACGAACCATACACTACTTCCTTTAGGATAACTACGAATCTCGTAAATTATTTCTGAACACGTTTTTGAACTCGGGCTATGGACTATTATTTTACCATAATTTTATCATCAGACTGCACGATGCGTCGATCCTTATCATCTTTCGTTAAGATGGTAGATTCACCTATCAATTTTAACAATCAGTGAAATCCTTGAACACGCGCTTAGGCATAAGCATAACTATTCACTTCTAATGGCTTGACTGAATAAAACATCTCAACATGAGTGATATGCTCTGAACTTGTATGATAGACCATGGATATTTCATGGAATACTCATTTTCGTTAATGGAGTTTTTCCTGCAACGATAGTTATCACGCTATCATCAAGGTTATACCATTTGAATCCTTATATGGGTGAGAGTGTCAACACTCGATATGTTGAATAATCATCGAAGCTAAGAAACCGAGCACAGAACATGAAGGTATTATGTTATATTTGGATCCATGAATCACTTACGAGATCACATAATAGATTGTGTGAACCGGAGAAAGATTTTAGACAAGCCTTGGCCTTGAATTATGAGAGAGTCATATGAACAAAAGATGTAAGTCTTTCGACTCCTAATTTGGAGATTGTGTAACTTTAAAATGCATTCTCTCTTTTAAGGAATGATACGATCCAGAGAATCAGGCAGGTGAAACCTGCAACTCAAAGGACCTTAGAAATTCTAAATAGAATTTGGTCCTGATATTTATAGAAAATCATCTTAAGAATTAAATGATGTGCACAAACATTTTTCATACGCCAAGCCTTAAAGAGCGTCTGTCCATTGACACGCTTGTTATATTTTTCAATAAAGTGTATTAAGAAAATAATGCAAAAGTTACATGTTTGTGAAAGTACACGCGATAGAACAGTGTGCAAGATTTGATAACCTTAAAATACATCATTTGATCTTATTCCCTATTCCCTGATTAGTCGTGACTTGTGATAAAGTCATCCATTGGATCAGTTATGTAATCTAGAGCTATACGACATTAATCGACTCTAGAAAGATCATGTGTGGATCGAACGAAATGAAAACACCACCAATTGTTTTATAATATTTTATCTATACATTGAATTTCGGGACGAAATTCCTTTCAACGAGGGGATATTGTAACAACTGGTAAAAATTGGTCTGAGTTCCGCAGTCAAATCACCGCGAACCACTATGTATTATTGACAAATTTTGTGTAATTTTAAGTTTATAAAGTATATTAAATATATCATATTTATAAATTCATTTGGAACGTCTTAAGCTAATCAAATCTTCCATCGTTGAAGATAAAAAAAAAAAAAAAAAAAAAAAACCGCCAAAAATTTGATTTAATTGTGTGTGTGTGTGTGTGTGTATATATATATATATATATGTATGTATATATATATATATATATATATATATATATATATATATATATATATATATATATATATATATATTTGCATCAATTATATCTGAGAGTTAAGGATAATATATTTTAATTGATTATGTTCCCCTGATTTCGTGTATATAAAGAACGTACGTCCAAAATATATATTAATTGATTTTGCATTACAAAATAAATAAATAAATAAATAAAGTATATTTTAATTGATTTTGCATCTAATATCTTTCAAAATCTGATTTCTTGTACAAAGTGGCTGCCACCGTCTCCAACCCTTCGGATCACCGGAGAAAGAGGCAATACCTATCCTTTCCCTTCCTTTGCTTCGTCCAACACCATCTGAAAGATTGATGCTACTAACCTTCATTCTCCAAATTGCTGCCAAGAAACACATCTGAGGTGTGTTGATTTCCGGTGGAAACAAGGAGGTAACAACCTCCTTTCTTCCTTCTTTCCTGTCAAGTACCACCCAAACAACCACTGATAAATCGTATTCCCTATCAAATACTAAACAATCCCAAACAGGTATCTTTTATCCTCCATCAATTCCTGTCAATTACGGCAACCCAAACACCCTAAAAATCGACTGTCTTACCGTTCTTCTTCCTGGTTGGCCGGAGCACACCTAGAAGCACCACCGGAGATGATCGCCCCTGCTTTCCTTCCTTCACGAATCGATGCCGGAACAGCCCTCATCAACGACTGTAGCAGCTGATCATCCACCGATTCCTTGCTGCAGGCGACGAAAAAGAAACCACGATGGGGTCATCGGAGATGCCGACTGCAACCCCACCCATCGAAGAAGCAACACTAAAATCCCCTTTGCACCGCTGCTTCGTCTCTTTCTTCTCGTCCGAGGTCACATCCGCCTCGCTGCTTCTCCCTTCGTTCTTCAGTCTAGTCGAACCCCGGATATGAACCTTCTTGCGGTCGACCGACGAAGTTGTGCCTGCGAGCCTTCGTGTTTTCTCCTCTCACGGTGTTCGTCCATTGCCTTCGTTCCCGTTCCTTCTCCATTGCCCCTTTGAAGACGACGCCCCTTTGTGATGTTGGAGCATTTGGGATCGACTATATCGGGACTTCAATAAGAAATTGGGTTTCGATTTTGACCCAGCCGAAAGTGAAGGGTAACTCAAACCTGCATTTAAATTAAATAGAATTGGCCCTCCACCAGAAAAACCCTAACAATTAAGTCCTAAAGCCCGCCTTGTTTTGTGAATAGTTTGTAAGATGAGTCCCAGGAGGATAATTTTGGTAAAATCAATAGCTAGAATTTATTTATTTCTAACAAAGACCACCCTACACTTAATAATTAATACCAAAACTACCCTTTTGGTTATATTAGGTAATTTAAACATACCCGGTGGTTCGTTTTAAGAACGAGGAACGTCACGTAAAATTTTTCACGTCAAGAAACACACCTTGAGCCTCGTTCACGCTTCGAATGTGAGTTTCTACAGCCCCTCTTTTACGTTTTTAATATTTGGGGGAGAATATATGCGTGTCTATTAAAGTTTGATGATTTTCAACTTTTATACGTTAAAATAGCATCGTACTTTATATTTGGTTGAAAGCATATGAATTAGTAATTTAACTGTATAAATCACATAAATTTAAGTAGGATGCTATAATGGATATAAATACACCTTGTTGGAATGTATTAATTAATATTAATAAAAATCATAAGATTATATGTAAACTATTATAATAACACGGATTGATGTTGTAAATCACAACCATGACGATGTTATATGTATAAGTTAAAGTATCAACTAGAAGTATGAAACGATATACAAATGACCAAAATGATTATTCGATTATAAAATGAAGGTACATTGCCATAGATTTGGAAGGACTAAGTTTATGAAATTATATGATTATTAGTTAAAATTATCAAATTTAACTTGTAATATATAAGCTTGTGTAACAACGGATGGAAAGTGTATTACTATATTTTTATATAATTATAAAAATATAACTCAATTTACTAAGTTACAGATTTTATTATAATAAATAAAATAATCGACTAAAGGACTTAAGAGTCGTTATTTACGAAATAAATAACTGTCGAGTATTGTATTTAAAGATTTTACCTTTATCCCAAATTAAATGTATTAAAAATATTCTCGCATAATTTATATAAAATATGGGGAATGTAGATTTATGGTCGATCCAAACTTGGATAAATTCAAAATATAGCTATTATGTTAATACAACATCGAAACTGTATCTAGTATGATAAATTCTTAAAGTTATAAGAATTTCAGTTATCGTTTTCCTAAACGGTGAATAATGTTACATATCCAGTGAATTTGGAATGGATTATATAGGTTCATTATACCTATTCTATGTAGGTTCATCATACCTACCCCACGTATTCAGTATAGGTTCATCATACCTACCCCATGTATTCCGTATAGGTTCATAACTATTCCATGTAGGTTCATCATACCTACTCCATGTATTATGTATAGGTTCATCATACCTATTCCATGTAGGTTTATCATACCTACTTCATATATTCCATATGGATTCATCATACCTATTTTGTAGGTTCATCATACCTATTCTGAATACCATATCCAATACGTTTGAGTTTCCATTATAAACTATTTCGGGTTTCGCGAAAGCTAAGATCTCAATACTTAGTAGAAACTCTCAATTATATAACCGTTAATCCTCAAGGGAACAACTAACGTCGGGTGTAAGTGTCATATTATTGATCTTATACGGTACGACCGCCCGCCTGGAGTTGATAGCTACAACTACATCTGACGAGATGAATTTTGGTGATGACGTTAGCATTATCGAAACATTACCACGTGTTACAACGGGGTGAATGAGTTTAGCACGCACGCCTTATTATGGTGTTAGTGCATTAATAAAGTACAGTGTCACAAGTTCAGTTATGATTTCATTATAAAATCCCAGTTTTGTTTCGTTATTGTATAGAATCGATATTGGATTTATACGAGGTTTATGCTCACTCATTCCGGTCGAAAGAAACTGTATTTAGTGGGATAGCTTGTGACTCAAAGCGATAAGTGTCAGTACCAAAAATTAAGTCAGATAACACTTAATTAATATCATGACATGGTTCAAGATGATTTATTAACTTACATAAAATAAGTTATTTATATAAACAATTTGTTTTTATAAGAAAACACAATATTTATGTGGGAGGAGTTTACCCCAGCAGCTAAGTGTCGGTTTTCAAATTAAGTCAGATAATACTTAATTATTGCCACGACTCGATTTTACAAAGTTCATAAATTCAATACTTATGATTTTTTTATATAAATGATACAAATTCTTGTATAAGGTTTCAAGAGTCAAGTTGGTTATTTTATGTTATCACAAAAGGTAACATTTCTTATTTTTATATAATTTGATATTCAAAATCTTTTATATAAAAATGCATTTTGATATAAGTCTGAATTACTTATATGTATTTTCCAACATTTGTACATTTGGATTTGAACAAAGGGTATTTATGAATGAGTTATAACACAATGTTATAACCCAATTATTTTATACTCTTAATAGAAAAGTATATATTTATAAAAGTTGGTCAACCAGCTAAATTTTATCAAACACTTTTGGGTATAAAAATACTTTGTGTCAAAACCTGTAGAACTCACCAACAATTTTGTTGACGTATTTTTAATGCATGCATTCTCAAGTTACTTAGCAGGTTGGAAGCGTTCGCTCAGAAGACTCTCCATTAGTTATATTATATTTTTGTAACACCAGATTGTTAGGCGTATGTCGCGATTTAGTAACAGTCATTGTCAATGTAATTTCTATTTCAGTTATAATAGAAGATTTTATTTGTACTGTTCAATGTATGTTTAATAACTGTGATTACTGATTTACGTTGCGCACCTCGGCATTTCCGCCAGCGGCCGAGGGTGTGACAAATTGGTATCAGGGCTATTGGCTATAATGAACTAGTATTTTCTTAGGAAATCACGTCTATAGCCTAGCGTTTATTCTCTTAGGTTAAGTATATTACTTAACCCACAAATAAAGGGTTGTTCATATATAAACTCGAACCCTTGAATGTCAATACAATGCAAGGTTTTAGGTCAAACACCTTAGCTAAGTTGGTTGTACATGGGCCGAACAACAAATAGATGTAGACTGATCACCTATGTTAAATTATGGTTGGACCGATGCACAATCAAGCTTGGATTTGGTTGGTAGACCAAAACGCTTGGAATCCAAAATATTTAAAGAACATCATAGTTCAAAAACACTTGAGAACTCTTAAAGAGTTTAGTGAACACTTTACGAATACTTGGCGAATAGTTACCTTAAATGCTCATAAAAATATAAGTATCATAAACGTAAATCATGTCTGAAGTTTATATCGGATTACTAATTACTCACCTATGATATCCTATGAATGCATTTGTTAGATCTTGTAGGAATACCTTGCAAAATATATGCACCTTTGCGAATCATTTCGAATTTGGTTTAGGTATTCAGTCACTTTGTTTGTTTCTGGTTGTGAATCGTCTAACTTATGATGATACTATTCAAGTTTAGAAGGACACTTACACCTACCCTTCGTCTTTTGTGACCCTTTTTAAAGGAGAATAAAGCAGACTCGATAAAAACGTGAAAAATGAAGATTGTTAGGAATCTTACCTAGTTTCCAAAAAAATCTCGATTCAAATGAATCAAAATTTCGGAACTCAAGATATAGTCAAAACATTGGGTCGTAGTCAACTTTCTGTGTAACATTCTCTTCGTGAATTTGTACTATTTATCCCAATACTTGGTTGTTTCTTTTCACTCGTCCCAAGTGTAACATTTCACCCTTGTTGATACAATATAACAGTTTGCTACATCTAATACTCATAGTAGAGTTAACCAACGTCAATTATAGACATTTGGCATAATTTTAGCACTATCGTTTATATACACGTCGATATTTTCACGTGACTCATTTCTCCTTGAACTAACTGTAATGAGACAAATATATACCTCATAAGAGATCCACGAGTGATCTTCCATCACCGATATAATCACCCGTCGCAACTATGATCGAGATAACGATCAAAAAACAAGTGGATAACATCTTGGACCACTGACAAAGTCAACAGGAACAATACCTCTATAAAAGGTAAAGTTTGTAAGCAACAAACATGGAAGTGATAGTGACGTCAATCTAGATCCTTCTTCAACATTGAATGGATTGTAGGAATGAACCCTGGAGCAAAATATGGAATCAATATTTCATGTCAACTCTTGTGTGGAAAGCTAACATGATTAGTTGTTACCTACACTTTTAAAGGCACAAATTTTACTGAGTAGAACTATTATGTGTAAATCATGGGCATTGACTATGCTTATGCCATGACTTGAGAAGCACCATAGGTGATGCACATGGAAGTGAGGTATATAAATTAGAACACGCACTAGTTAAAGTAAAGCGTGTTATGAAGATGGTGAAACTGCCAAGGCTGAAGAACCAGGAGGTGACAACTTGAGTCGGAGTATTTATGATCGGAGCAAGGAATGAAATCCAGGAAACATCAATAGTAACTGTTGTGTTTCTTATAAGCACTCATATGCTAAGGTAATTTTAATTAAGATATTCAAAGAAACCCTTGTGAACCCTAAACTTAAACCTCTTATGAGTCATGAACCCACTAGTTTGGAGAAAACCTTTAGAGTAGACTGTAGAGACAACTAGTGAGTTGTCGGAAATCCACTCGCAAAATGTTAATAAATTTCATCCTAATACACAATCATTTTTTTCACGACAATCTCATGCGTATGTCGTCGGAAGTCTAATATTGTTTTTAATATGACACAGTTTTGTTTGCGACACGTCATGTCTTATACGACCCTCCCTTTTTAAACAATAAAATAACCATGAACGATCGATCATTACTTATAGATCTTTTACCAATTCCGAGTGGAAGCTTCGACATTATCATAGGTATGAATCGACTACCTTCCCATTGTGTCTAGATCTGT